TCCTTCAGCAGATCCGAGAGTGGTACACACGGCGCTGCAGCCTTCGGAGTGGCGCTCCTGGTGCTGCGGACCCTGGAGTTGGAGCTGCTGCTGGTGCTGAGGACCCGGGTGGTGGAGCTACTGCTGGTGCTGAGGACCCGAGCGGTGGAGCTGCTGCTGGTGCTGAGGACCCGGTCGGTGGAGCTGCTGCTGGTGCTGAGGACCCGAGCGGTGGAGCTGCTGCTGGTGCTGAGGACCCGAGCGGTGGAGCTGCTGCTGGTACTGAGGACCCTGGCACTGGTGTCTCTACTGGTTCTGGAGACGCTGCGCGACCGCGACCGTACTTCGTACCTCTCCTTCAGCAGGTTCTTGGTCAGGCTCCTCCTCCTTGTCCTCCTCCCTCCGTAGAGTGTCCGCCACCTGTCCAGTCGCAGTCCCAGTTACCACCTGCTTCGCCTCTCTCTGGTCCCTCTCCGTACACTGGTCCCACAGGAGGTCTTACAGAGCGTCGTGAGCCTGCGTCTCGTCCCGCGTCGCCTGTTCGCACTGCTCGCACTGGTCGTCGTGTCCCACGTGAGCGTCCTCCTCCTGTCCCTTACACTCACTACATGACTCTGCGTCCCTCCACTGCTCCTCAGCGTGTCCCTCTGCCGTCTCCTCCTGCGTCCTCTCTGCCTACTCTTCCTGACCCGGAGTCTGACTCCCGTCGTGCTGCCAGTCCCACTGTCACGCGTCTCCTCGCCACTGTTGTCACTGACCCTACCTTTGAGTCCTCTGCTGCGTCTGCTCTGGTCGCTGAGTTGGTTGACTTTGCTGCCCGGTGTCGTCTAGACTACGCCACTAGCCTTGTTGCTGAGTCTGAGTCTGAGTCTGTCTGTCCTCCGTCCGTCGGGGGTGAGTGTGCTCTTGGCACGGACGTCCTTGAGGACAGACAGGAGGAGTTCCAGTGCTTTGCTGCTGCTTTGCCCCATCTCGTGTCCATGCTAGTTGCCCCTGAGGGAGACCCGGATGCACCAGACATCCCGACCCCGCGCTCTTACGCAGAGGCGATAGAGGGTCCCTACTCCTCTCAGTGGCGGACAGCCATGGACGCAGAGATGGCTTTCTGGAAGTCCACAGGCACCTACGTCGACGAGGTTCCCCCACCTGGGGCGAACATCGTCAGTGGCATGTGGATTTTCAGGGTGAAGCGGCCGCCGGGTTCTCCTCCTGTCTTCAAGGCGCGCTACGTTGCTCGAGGCTTCAGTCAGCGAGAGGGAGTAGACTTCTTCCAGACCTTCTCCCCCACCCCGAAGATGACTACTCTTCGGGTGCTGCTGCACATAGCCGCTCAGCGCGACTACGAGCTTCACTCACTTGACTTCAGCACAGCTTTCTTGCAGGGCAGCCTGCACGAGGAGATCTGGCTGCGTCGCCCTCCTGGCTTTACTGGGTCGGTTCCTCCTGGCACCCAGTGGAGGCTCCAGCGACCGGTCTACGGTCTCCGCCAGGCGCCGCGTGAGTGGCACGACACACTGAGGACTACACTTGCGGCTCTTGGGTTCGCTCCTTCTACTGCTGACCCGTCGCTGTTTCTACGCACCGACACCTCGCTGCCGCCGTTCTACATCCTCGTGTACGTCGACGACTTGGTCTTTGCCACTGCTGACACTGCGGCACTCGCCCACGTGAAGTCGGAGCTGCAGAAGAGACACACGTGCACAGACCTGGGTGAACTGACAAGCTATCTTGGCTTGCGGATCACCCGGGACAGAGCACGGCGCACCATTACCTTGACTCAGTCACACATGGTGCAGCAGATCCTTCAGCGCTTCTGCTTCACGTACTCCTCGCCACAGTCCACTCCTCTGCCTACAGGTCACTTGCTCTCAGCTCTGCCTTCGGATGAGTCCGTAGAGCCGAGTGGCCCGTATCCAGAGCTTGTGGGCTGCCTCATGTACCTGATGACCTGCACTCGACCTGACCTTGCATACCCTCTTAGCATCCTTGCACGCTATGTCGCTCCTGGCCGTCACAGGAAGGAGCACATGGATGCTGCTAAGAGGGTGTTGCGCTACTTGTGCAGTACGTCGGGCATGGGGCTAGTGCTTGGAGGGCGAGACCGAGTTGTACTCACTGGTCACTCAGACGCTTCTTGGGCGGACGACCAGGCTACTCAGCGGTCGTCTCAGGGTTACACCTTCAGCCTTGGCTCCGGCTCAGTTTCTTGGCGTTCCACACGCTCTTCTTCTGTTCTCAGCTCCAGTTGTGAGGCTGAGATCTACGCCACAGCCATGGCGGCCCAGGAGCTACGCTGGCTGACCTACCTGCTGACCGACTTGGGAGAGCGGCCTCGTTCTCCTCCAGTGCTGTACGTCGACAACAAGGCTGCCATTGCCTTGTGTGAGGAGCACAGACTGGAGCACAGAACGAAGCACATCGCCCTGCGGTACTTCCTTGCTCGAGAGCTGCAGCAGCGCGGTCAGCTTTGTCTGCGTTACGTGGCCACTGAGGCCAACACTGCTGATGTGTTCACCAAGGCGCTTCAGCCTTGTGACCATCAGCGCTTCTGTACTCTTCTAGGCCTTGTGCCTGCTGGACCTCACTTGCTTACTTCTTGACTCTGTTTGTACTGTGATCTCTATATATATACCTGCATGCTTACACTTGCTAGGTTGCGATCACTGTATCTCTTGCTATATTATCATCTTACATGTGAACTGGTCTTGTGACCGCTTGCTTGTGCTCGGAATTTGTGTGGTATCCTTGAGATCCACCCTGAGCCTGTTTTGCTTTGCTTTGCTTTGACTGGTCTTGTGACCCTCTGGTTGTCTCCCACTTCGCCTATGGGGGTGTGTCAAACATTGTATGTTTATATTGTGTAGGCTATAGTGGGTTTAGCCTTAGAGGGTACACAAACTTAGGGTTTCATACTTGTACCCACCTTCCTGTTAGTTCATCCATTCTTGTTCTGTTCTAGATTCTGACAGGCGTTGCGCCGTTCATCAGCAGCCTGACGCTTGTAGCACTGGTCGATGGAGTGGCCAGACTTCTTGCAGTATTTGCAGAAAGCTCCCTTCTTTCCGCGTTGCTCCCCTTGTGATGCTCCTGTGTAGAAGGCTAATTTTTCCCGCTTGACATTTTTCTCGTTGTACAGGTCGATCTCCTTCTGCTCCGAAAGAAGCGTGGCGCACAGAGCCGACTCCGATATGGTTGCTCGGGCGCGAAGGAGTGACTGGCACTGGCGCCAGTCGGGGCCGAGGCGAGAGATGACCATGAAGATGAACATGTCGTCGGGGACAGTTCCACCGCACTTCTTAACTTGATCGCGCAGATTGCGGCACCGGTTGACATACGGTCCCGCTTTCTCCCCTTGCTTCATTTTGACCGAAGTTTACTGGCTGAGTAGACGACTCATTGTAACTGGATCTGTTGCCATGTATGAGTTGCGCAGGTGTTCCCAGGACGCGTGCGCGAGAGCCCACTCCGTCTTGTAGGAACGAATGCCGAGCTGTTCTTCAGGTGAGAGATTACGAAGGAGAGCGGTATACGCGAGGAGAGATTCGTGGTAGTATTGATTCTTCTCTTGGATGGTGCCTTCCGAAGGAAAGGGCAGGCTTCCGTCGTAGTACATCCAGATCTGAGCGGTTGTCGCGAGAAGCTCGAATTCGAAACTCCACCAACATCCCCCCCTTCCCATCTTCCAACACTTTCCCCTCCTTCCCCTCTCCCCCCTCTCCACGTGTAAAAATCATTTCCGTCGAAAAGAATTTGATGTCTTCAATTTTGAAGTCAATACAAATTTGGTTTGCATCGAGGCGATATCTAACGATGATCGTTGTGGGTTGTCTTGTGCAGGAGCTGACCCTTGACGATTGTCAAAGGTGAAGGATCTCTCGGAGTTGACGCGGCGGTCTTCTCCAGGGAGAGGGAGTCCAGCAACGCCACGTGCATAGCTTGAGCCGTCAATGCTCATTGCTTGATGGCTTTCAAGGGCGTTGATGCGTGCGACTAGCTGCTCAACGACAGCGGCGCTGACGGAGGTCACCGCTGATGGCGCGTTAGTCGTTGCTGGTGGTGGGCCCGGTGAGTCTGCAGTAGCTTTCCCTTCAGGAGCCATAGTGTTGCAGACTTTAAGATGTGATAAATAATTTTATAAAAAGATTGTTCTAGAAAGAACGAGGGCTTGACATATTCTATAATCCACTCTAGCTCTTATACCATGCTGATACCACCAAAGGATCAAGTAGATAGGATAAGATCTGTTAAGTCTGAGAGGAGACAATGAAGTCTCTGTAATGACCTTGTTGAATAATAATTGAAAGAGAACAAGATGATTAAAAGTTTTGAGTACAAGAGATTAAATAGAAATCTAGCTAGCCATGTACTCTGAGGGGTACATTCCTTTTAACTGTATTACATAGCTACAGTAACCGCGACTATTGCTATCCTCGACAGTTACCATGTTGCACTGAGTTAACTGTCGCGCGGTTACTGGATCGTCAAGGGTCACGACCGTTGACTCTCTTAGACAGTTGACCTTCGGGTGACCCTATATGAGCTATTGCGGTACTGGTACAGTGGAACAGATTCGGAAATGGTTATATAAACTTTCGGTTATTCCAACAATCAGTTATAATCTTTTATGTTGTAGGCAGCTATGCAAAGCTATGTATACGTATATATCTTTGACAACTTATAAGTAGAAATGATTGGGCTAATTCAAAGTAGGCCAAACACTTGGGGAACGGAAATCTCCTTTACAAACGGAAGTCGATCACCGAACAGCACCTCTCATTCTGTTTGGGCCTCAGCAGGATAGAAATTGACGATCCTTTGTGTTAGAAACTGACCAATCGATTTGATGGAAGAACTGATTTACTAACAGCCGTTCATCTCTACGGCTACGAGTGATTTGCGCTGAAAGATTGGTTTTGGAGATTTGAAACCAAACCGACTTCACTCCCCGCAAACCCGAACCGACTCCCAAGCTACCCGAGCCAACACCCGAAGCGAGACCCCTGTTGCCAAGCGTAGGAAGGATGAAGGGTCTCGAGCACAAAAAGGCATTCGCTTCCATCATTTTCGATGTGCTCAGTTCATTGTTCACCTTTTGTTTTTCTCCTCGCTCGCTGTTGTGTTCCCACTAGGCCTCAGCTCCCATCTCCAAGCATTTCTTCTCTAAAGTTCCCCTAATGGCTCGCACAAAGCAAACGGCCCGCAAGTCCACCGGCGGCAAGGCGCCGCGCAAGCAACTGGCCACCAAGGCCGCAAGGAAGTCAGCGCCCGCCACGGGCGGCGTGAAGAAGCCTCACCGGTACCGCCCGGGCACGGTGGCGCTGCGCGAGATCCGCAAGTACCAGAAGTCGACGGAGCTGCTCATCCGCAAGCTGCCGTTCCAGCGCCTGGTGCGCGAAATCGCGCAGGACTTCAAGACGGACCTGCGCTTCCAGAGCTCCGCCGTGATGGCGCTGCAGGAGGCGGCGGAGGCGTACCTCGTGGGGCTGTTCGAAGATACCAACCTCTGCGCCATCCACGCCAAGCGCGTCACCATCATGCCCAAGGACATCCAGCTCGCCAGAAGAATCCGCGGCGAACGCGCTTAGAAGGCCGCGACTGGATGATTGACTCTGACAATGTCGCCAATGGCGTCCATCTCTTCTAGGGGATTGAGCGTCGTTGTTTCTTGTTTTTTTAACCGCCGACGACCGCGTGTCGCGTGTAAATTGTTTCGGTGCGGGTTGAAGCCTCTGTCGATAATGGCGATCGGACCCAGTGTGATTCGAGCCTTGCTTCGAAAGTGGTATGTCCCAGTCTAAGCGTTGTAATAGTTCTCGTTCAAGCTATAATAAACTAAATGTTCCGTTCATTTGTAAAAACCTTTTACGCTAGCGACAGATGTTGATGCGAGTCCTCCATTGCTCTTCGTGGCCGCTTTCAGCGCTGGTAATACTCATACGGGTAGCACTTGCTGAATTGCTGTACTCCCTGACTGCTTCAGCTGTGCCCGTATCCCTCGCCATGGCACGATGCGCTTTACTTACCTACCCCGTTCCCTTGTACAAAGCAAAGGTGGGTTTATGAATGGGTGACGGAATGAGGGAAAATAGATTGCTTTCACTATCCATGAATATGAAGACATGAGCTAACAAAAATAAATAGAAATGTTGACAGTATAGTGCGAACAGCTAGGTGCAATTGTAGTGTTAGCACCGCTTAGGTTATGCAATCCTAAAGAACAGTTCCATATTATGTACCGGCTTGTGCACTAGGCATACAGTTCAGTAAGGGGGCGCAAATGTTACTGTAATCTTCAGGAGCCACCTACAGTAGGTGTTCAAATCATTCTTCACAGGTGTAGAATCTTCTTACAACCTCTATTAAGATATTTGTCACTTGGTGTACTCATCTTCGTTACAAAACGAAATCAGGAAACGCGTACCTCCAAACCAAATAATCCCTGAAGGTGAAGACGAGGCTAGCGCAAGAAGTTCGCCCTCCGCTCCTCCACGTCTCCGCCCTGCGCCCGTTCCACTGGGTGCCTCCATCGCGCATCCATCGCGACTCATGGCGTCGCTCGCCTCATTCCTCCCGCGAACGCCCGCGCCTGCTTTGTTGCACCGTTCCCCACCTTCTCTCCACTCCTTAGAACCCCACCCGGTCCTCTTGCCCTCCCCGCGCGCCACTGGCCTCTGTCGCCCCGGATGCGCGGCGCCCCGCGCCGCCGTCGCCCGCACGCCTCGCGCGCGCACACCCGCCCTCCGCCCTCGCGTGGGCGGAAAGGCTCCGCCTTGCCGCGCGGCGGCGGAGTCGGAGGCGGTGGGGGAGGGCGCGGAGGAGCGGAAGACGGTGTCGCTGGGGACGGCGGTGCTGCCGAGCGACTGCAATCTGGCGGCGCTGGAAACGATGATGGCGGAGGTGAGAACGGCGGAAGTGGGAATGGCGGAAGTGGGAATGGCGGAAGTGGGAACGGCGGAAGTGGGAACGGCGGAAGTGGGAATGGCGGAAGTGGCGGAAGTGGGAATGGCGGAAGTGGGAATGGCGGAAGTGGGAATGGCGGAAGTGGGAATGGCGGAAGTGGGAATGGCGGAAGTGGGAATGGCGGAAGTGGGAATGGCGGAATTGAGAATGGCGCAGGTGGGAATGGCGCAGGTGGGAATGGTGCAGGTGGGAATGGCGCAGGTGGGAATGGCGCAGGTGGGAATGGCGCAGGTGGGAATGGCGCAGGTGGGAATGGCGCAGGTGGGAATGGCGCAGTTGGGAATGGCGCAGGTGGGAATGGCGCAGGTGGGAATGGCGCAGGTGGGAATGGCGGAGGTGAGAATGGCGGAGGTATAACGCCCCATAGACCACTGGGCTTAAATATTGGTTGTTCGACTGGCAGCGGCAGCTTTTTAGCCCTTGTTGTAAGCTTGCAGGCGTTACAGGTGAGGCGATGGTGGCGCAGGTGGGGCGATGATGGCGCAGGTATAACGTCCCGCCAGACCACTGGGCTTAAAAATTGGTTGTGAGGCCATGGTGGCGCAGGTTGGGTGTCTACTAAGGAAACCCCGGTCAGGGCAGGGCAGGATGACGGCAATGCATGCGCACCTGAGGTGGGTCAGTGAGATTGGCGCAGGTGAGGCTGTGCAGGAGGCACAGGATGGGCTGGATACCAGATGAATCCGGGCAAGGCATGATGACGTGGCAGCAATGTAATGCACGTGCATTGAGACTGGACTGCGCTTGGTCCTGCAGGATAAACGCAGCCACGGTACAACCTAGCTTAGACCGTCCTTGCGGTTTCAGCACCACATGTGGTGGAGCTTGCGCTACCCACGTGGTGGATTTTACTTTTGAGAATTCTCAAAAGTACCATCAACGGAGCTTAGCCACGTGGTGGGGTCCGATGACGGACATGAGTGGGTGCCGATTTTTGAGTCGACTCAAAAATCGGGTCTAGTGCGCACATGAGTGGGTGCAGTGCAGTATTGTGTGGGCGTGTGTTCCTCCGGGCCATGGGTGGGAATGCTGCTCTGCGCGTGCTCGCCCAAGGAGTCGCAAGTTGGGTCCCGTGGCTGCGTTTATCATCCTGCAGCAGCAGTGCACGCAGCACTGCTGCACTGATTGTCGGGGCTGTCCACTTGTTCGCCTTCTTGCTTGCTTGCACGCTGCGGCACTGCAAGGAGGAACACAACATGCAGGGCAGTAGGAAATAATGCAGCCAGCTGGATGGGCAGGGGAAGAGGGTGAGGGTGGGAGGGTGGTCAGGGCTGATGCAAGGGTGGACCATACAGGGAGTCTGGCTGAAGGGGGAGTTTGGCGGTCCACGTGGTGCATGCTGCTGCCGTGCGGAGCAGCACAGCAGTGAGCTTTGAGGCGCGTCAACAGCAGGGCGAGTTCTAAGGCACCTCGAATCAGGGGTTGATGGGGGCGGCCCTGCGAGTTCCATGCAGTGCAGTGCAGTGCAGCGTGCATGCTGCGGGGGTGCAACACAACACACCAATGCTGTGTGATGTGCAGTGCAGGTGCCTGCGAGGGCCCAAGGTGAAGTGCCTTGAGGTCGTATCGCACTGCTCACAAGGCCCTGGGAAAGATCCGCCCTCCACGTCCGCACGGTGCAACTCCCTTGATGGTAGTTACTACCCCAGAATGGTAGCAGCCCAAGGGCATCCCTTGGGCTCCAGGATGGTAGCAGCAGCATGGGTGTGCGTGGAGGGTGGGGGGTTAGGAGCACCCCAAGGGACGCATGCCCGGTAGCCTTGGATCGGATCCCTGCTGTTAGTGTGCAATGCAGTGCACTGTGCAGGCGAAAGTAGCCTGCTGGCCGGCTGGCGCCCAAGCCTGAAAATTTGCAGGAACTGGGAGAGGGAGTTCAAGCCCGGGGGGCAATGGCCTGGCCCATTGCGGTCGCCACAAGAGAGCGGTTTCTCGCTCTCCCTAAGCCCCCTGTTGGTTGAACGAGCACCTGGTACTCTTTCCAGATAGAGTGCGACACCCAGAAACGATGCTGGTCTCTCAGTTTCCGCCACAAAGCTTGCACTGTTGCTGTGGGTGGACACTGATATGGCAGCCAGGTGCTGTTCGCCCACTCTATCTAGCCTGGGCCGTACACTCTTACCTAGCCATGGCACGTGGGCGGGCTTAGTTGGTCATGTGCGTTCGACCCTCATTGCTTCTCCCTAACCTCTGGATCCCCTCACATCTGTTTCTCACGTGCACACTTACCCCTCCGTCTCCTGCTCGTCTGGTTGATTTCTTTCCTTCGCACCTGCCCTCTCTCTCCCCATCCTTTCTCGCCCTCGCTGGACTTATCTCTCACAACGCCTCACCCTCTCCCCCCTCCCCTCTCCCGCTCCGTCTCACTGTGCCATGCGCGCTGCCCCCCTGCCATGCGTGCTGCCCCCCGGCCATGCTGCTCTGTGCTCGCTACCCTGCGTGCAGTGGGCCACGTCTCTCACACAGGACGCTAATCTGCCTCTGCAGTCTCCTCTCAAGGTACGCACACCTCTCCTCCTCTCCACCTCTCCACCTCTCCTCCTCTCCACCTTCTCCTCCACCTCACTTCCTTTGGGCTTTGTTTCATGCTGACGTCTCCACCTTCTTTACCCAACATTGTCTTTGCTCCTCACGTTCCCTGACCCTCTCTATCCTGCCTCTGAATTTGTCTTCATCCGTGTGCCTGTGTGGATATGCGTGCGGGGGCGTGTGTGTGTGTGTCTGGCTGGGTGACTGAGTGTGTGGAGGTTTGTGTGTGAGTGTGTGTGCGGATTGTGAGTGTCGGTGTGTGGTGTGTTCGGGTTAGTGTGAGGGTGTGCGGGTGTGGGTCTGGGTCTGGGTTTGCGTGTGGTTGTGTGCAAGGCTGGGGATGTGGTTGGCGGGGTGAGTTTCAGCATGTGCAAGGGTGGAGGCGTGGTTGGGAATGTGAGGGTGCATGTGTGTATGGGTATGGTTTGTGGGTGTGGCAAGAGTTGTCTTGTAGGTGTGTGTTCGTGTGTGGAATAGATTGAGTCTGTGCACCTGTTTCTGTCTGTATTTGGCAATGCGTCTATGGGTGGAAGTGTGGGTGCGTGTGTGGGTGTGTGGGGATGTGCGTGGGTTGATGGGTTGGCGGGTTTGTGGCTGGGTACTGCGGCGGTTTGGAGGTGTGCGGGGATGCATGGGCGCGTTGTGGTTGAATGCGTGGGTGGCTTTGTGGTTGCGTGTGCGCGTGCAAGTCTGAGTGTGAGAGAGTGGCATGGCAGGTGGACAGGATACCGGGAGGAGCACATCTGAGTTTACAAGTAACCGACAGTGGCACCCCAAGGCCCGTAGACATCCTACTCACAGTGGAGCCCCCCCCCCTCCCCCCCCCCCTCTCTCCTCCCTCCCCCCCTCTCTCTCGCTCTTTTTCTGTTCAAGTGCACGTGGCAGATGGACATGATACCTGGAGGAGTGCAGCTAACCCTACAGGTAACCGACTGAGACACCCCAAAGCCGATGGACAAACCAGTGACGGTGGAGCCCCCCTCTCTGTCTTTGTCTCTGGGTGCACGTGGCAGGTGGACAAAATACCCGGAGGGGTGCAGCTGAGCTTACAAGTAACCGACGCTGCTGCTGACAGTGACACCCCAAGGCCCGTGGACATCCTAGTGACAGTGGAGCCCCTTTCTGTCTATCTGTCTCCGTGTTTCTGAGTGCAGGTGGACAGGATACCTGGAGGAGTGCGGCTGAGCTTACAAGTAACCGACAGTGACACCACAAAGCCCATCGACATCCTGGTCACAGTGGAGCCCCCCTCAGCAGACGCCCCTGCCATGTTCCGAGCCGTGCGCTCCGGCCCGCACTGCCAGCTCACCCCGCCCGGCGAGCCTGCCCTCATGGCCTCCATGCTCACTGCACTAAGGAAGTCCGTGGCGCTGTCTAGGTCGTCAGGATGATGATAGTGTGATACGGTATGGTGCTGCCATGATTTCCCGCAAATGCCCCTTCGTTCATGGCCTCCATCCATGCACTCTGCCTTGCGAAATTCTGTGGCGATTTTTCCATCGTCAGTATGATGATGACGGGATTTTGTGCTGCTGTTATCCTCTTACCGTAGGTGTGTTCAGGGATTGGGGTAAAAAATATTATGGGTGTATGAGTGTATCTGTTGGTTCTAAATGTAGGCATTTTGCATATTAGCCGTATTGATATACATACAGTAGCCTGACCTTAGCGGGGTTCGTCCTAAGGGCGTGTAAAATCGGGGAGTATTTTGAAAAATGAGGTTTGGCCGGGATTTTGTCGACCAAATGGTCGACACTTCTTTCGCACATGTCGACCACATGGCCGACTCAGTGTCGGCCAATAACCGGCCATTTTTTGCAGGCCTGCAAATTTTACAACTTCCAGGGGCGAATTGCTGGCCGACTCCAGAAAGTTGTAAACTTTCAAATGGCCGAATTGTGCGACGGAGTCGCACATGTGCACCCGATATTGGAACGCCCTTGCACCCCAATCTCAACCACAGCCTGAACATTGCTACCGCGGCTCCGTTCACATACGGTTCGGCATAGCACAATTAGCCAAAAGCGGTTTAGGGTTTCTGATTGGCGTCGCATGCGGAAACGTGCGACACCTGATGCCAATGTCGCAACGACGGGGCGGTAACGTGGCTGGTTTCGAGTCGACTCGTCGTTGGAAGGCGAGTCGACCAATTAGACGGCCATCAAATTCGCTGAATCTGGGCGAAATTTGCGACTGTCGCAAGGCTTGTCGTGAATTTCGTAACAGTGTAACTTTCGCCAATTCGGCCATTCGGCTTGTGGCCGAATATTTGTGTCTCCCGATTTTACACGCCCTAAACTTCCGAGCCGAACCAGCTACGAGTCGTCCCCGTGGCCACCTTTCCAAACCTCGCGTGCCCCGAGCTCCTCGCCCAGCCAGGAAACCCCCTATGTTTGGTCTTCACTTTCATTGTATTCTCTCAGTCACAGACTCGTTATAGAGTTCTACCGCGTACTGTGTTAGTTCAACAACATGTTGTTGAAGGTGAGGTGCAAGGTTCTTGGATCAAAATACAACTCTAGCATGAGATCAAAAGAAAAGCGCGCGCCGTGATTTTTTGAAGGTCTTGTAGGCGCGAGAATACGGCGTGCGCCAAGACCCCCATGTCCGCGCCAAGACCCCCATGTCCGCGCCAAGACCCCCATGTCCGCGCCAAGACCCCCATGTCCGCGCCATTCTCGCCACGCCGCGTGCCGTCAGTCCTCTCCGCGCCATTCTTCGCAGCCGCGCACACGAACAGTGATGCGGGACCGCCGCGCGTGGCGCCAGCGGGGTGCGTCGGCGGGGTGCGACAGCGAGGCGCGACAGCGGGGCGCGAGCCGGCAGCGATGGAGAGAGCGGACCGCCGCGGTGACTCCTGTAGGCACCACGTGACACGAGGAGTACAGGGTGTTTCTGAGCAGTCTCAAGAGGACCCGCCGCCAAGTCATTGTTCCAGTGGGCAGAGTCGTCGCAGGGAGTCGTCGCAGGGAGTCGTCGAAGAGAGTCGTCGTAGAGAGTCGTCGTAGAGCCGTCGCCGCCTTGCTTAGTTGGGTCCAGTCCTTACTGAGCAGAAAGTCGCGGATAGTAACAAGTTTTACCTTGCATTTGCGCGCAGTGCGCCCGCTGCCGGCGAATGCACGCGGCTGAACGGGGCGCGTTACCTCCGCGCGGCGCGCCCTTGGCCGCGCGTCTGCGCCGGCGGCCTCCGCGCAGCCCTCCTCCAGCCGCCACCACGAGGCGGCGGCGGTGCCCGCCGCGAGTAGCCGCCGCGAGTAGCCGCCGCGATTAGCCGCCGCGGGTAACCGCCGCGTCGCCGCGGGATGACCTGTCGGCGCTGCAGGCGCGGCGGGCGCAAGGCAGGGCGCAGGCGCAAGCTGCGGGCGGGGATGGCGCAAGGTGCAATGGGCCAGGAAGTATGGTTTTCACCAGGAGACGATGCGGGCAATAACGGGTCACTCACGGGTGGCATGGCGTGGTGCGACGGTGCATTGGAAGGGGAGAAGGAGAGGCGACGGTGCATTGGAAGGGAAGGTAGGTGTGGTGCATGTTGTCGAGCTGTGCGTTGCGATGGCGTGCAAGTGTTAAGCAGAGTGCGTGTGTGAGGAAGTACCATGGGTCATACTGGTCATGAAGAGGAGTAGCAGTGTGAGGCATCGCTTTAGCAAACAACGACTGTCACTTGTTGCGGAAAATTCTAGCCCTGGAAATTGCTCTCGCACCGGTGGTGCGCGTGCGGCCTGGTGCGTGCATGAGTCGTGCCGTCTTGCCCCCACCCCACCCTGCTTTTTTAGTCGCTGCTCGTATGCGTCATTGCCGCCGGCACGCCTTGCCATGCGCTTGCCCTCACCCCACTGTGCTTGCGGATAACATGCAGATGCCCTTTCTCTTGCTTGATGATTACCCTACTGCACTCGCCTCTCCCGTACCTCCCGCGCAACCCCCTGCTTAACCTGATCTTCTCTTTTCCCGCATAGTGCCGACTTGTCCTCACCCCACCTTGCTTTTGAGTTGCTGCTCGCATCTCTCATTGTCGCCCCGACGCCAGATTCTCCTGTGCTTGACGAATACTCTACACTCGTTAGCGATACTGTGAGAATAATAAAAAATACCCTGCACTCTCCTCTCCTGTATCTATCGCGCAACCCTCTGCTTAACGTAATCTTCCCCTTTCCTTCTCCTGCCCCGTCGTCCTGTGTCCCCTCCCCCCTCCCCCCCCGCTCCCCTCTCCCCTCACTCCCTTCCTCCCCCACCCATGTGCGCCTCTGTCCCCCACTCTGTCTTCCCCCTCCCGTGTGCAGCACAGGGTCACGGTCGCTCGTTGGCGAGGGCATGTGCGCGGTAGGGCAGAGAGAAGCGGATCAACAAGCATGATCGCCTGGCGTTGCTTTCTCGCGCTGCACACACGGACTGGCGAGCAGAGCTGGCTGCAGCTGTGCGGGCGGGCAGGGGACTGCAAGCTGCTGCGGTGCTGTGCGGTGCGGTGCAACACCGGGGGCGTACGCAGACGAGGTATGGCACAGGCATGGACATGGGCATGGGCATGGGCATGGGCATGGGCATGGGCATGGGCATGGGCACGGGCATGGGCATGGGCATGGGCATGGGCATGGGCACGGGCATGGGCATGGGCATGGGCATGGGCATGGGCATGGGCATGGGCATGGGCATGGGCATGGGCATGGGCATGGGCATGGGCATGGGCATGGGCATGGGCAAGGGCCAGCGGTAAGCACACACACCATGGGCTGAACATTGTCGTTGCACCGTTAGGAGGGCATGGAAAGGCTGGCCCATGCTGGTTGACAAGAGGCGTGGCAGTGGCAGGGCTGGTGGGAGCAAGCGAGAGGGAGAGGAAAACTCGCTGGGAGAGCGCGAAGTGAGTGGCAGAAGGGGCGGGAAAGTGGGCTGTAGTGAGGAGGGGGATGCAACTGAGCGAGGAGCACCGGTGGGTAATATCGGCAGCCATCATAGCCAGGTGAGCTGACCCCCTGAGTCACGACAATGAACGGAATCGCCAATGCGAAGCACCTCTGCTGCATCCCTTTGTTCGCGCTACCCTCAGTGCCCTTTGTCCCTCAGCCCCTGAGGGTCCCTTGTCCCTCAGCCTCTCACGTCACTCCTCACTGCCTCCATTGCTTCTGTTCCCACTTGGCTGTCCCCTGTCCCCTTCCCTTCCCCCTATGCGTGCTGGCCTAAAGCAGTAGTGCGGCGGGCGGCATGAGGAGCTTGCAGAAGTTACCATCCTCACTGGGATGCCGTCAATTATATCCACTCAATTATATCCACTCAATTATGTCCACTCAATTATATCCACTCAATTATATCCACTCAATTATATCCACTCAATTATATCCACTCAATTATATCCACTCAATTATATCCACTCAATTATATCCACTCAATTATATCCACTCAATTATGTCCAGTCAATTATATCCACTCAATTATATCCACTCAATTATATCCACTCAATTATATCCACTCAATTATATCCACTCAATTATGTCCTCTCAATTATGTCCACTCAATTATATCCACTCAATTATATCCACTCAATTATATCCACTCAATTATATCCACTCAATTATATCCACTCAATTATATCCACTCAATTATATCCACTCAATTATATCCACTCAATTATATCCACTCAATTATATCCACTCAATTATATCCACTCAACCATATCCACTCAACCATATCCACTCAACCATATAGACTCAACCCATATCCACTCAACCATATAGACTCAATCATATCCACTCAACCATATCCACTCAACCATATCCACTCAACCATATCCACTCAACCATATCCACTCAACCATATCCACTCAACCATATCCACTCAACCATATCCACTCAACCATATCCACTCAACCATATCCACTCAACCATATCCACTCAACCAGGTGCAGTATAAGCGCAGGTGCAGTGCATGAATGAGGGCGGGAGGGGCGGCTAGGGTTGCCAGTTGCAGGCATAGGTGTGTGGGGGAGGGAGGCTATGGCGGAGGCGCTTCAATGTGGTGGGGCAGTGCAGATCAAGTGGATTCAGGAGGGTAAGCAGGGAGGAGATGAGGTGAGGGGCAGGGAGCAGGGAGGAGATGAGGTGAGGGGCAGGGAGGAGATGAGGTGAGGGGCAGGGAGGAGATGAGGTGAGGGGCAGGGAGGAGATGAGGTGAGGGGCAGGGAGGAGATGAGGTGAGGGGCAGGGAGGAGATGAGGTGAGGGGCAGGGAGGAGATGAGGTGAGGGGCAGGGAGGAGATGAGGTGAGGGGCAGGGAGGAGATGAGGTGAGGGGCAGGGAGGAGATGAGGTGAGGGGCAGGGAGGAGATGAGGTGAGGGGCAGGGAGGAGATGAGGTGAGGGGCAGGGAGGAGATGAGGTGAGGGGCAGGGAGGAGATGAGGTGAGGGGCAGGGAGGAGATGAGGTGAGGGGCAGGGAGGAGATGAGGTGAGGGGCAGGGAGGAGATGAGGTGAGGGGCAGGGAGGAGATGAGGTGAGGGGCAGGGAGGAGATGAGGTGAGGGGCAGGGAGGAGATGAGGTGAGGGGCAGGGAGGAGATGAGGTGAGGGGCAGGGAGGAGATGAGGTGAGGGGCAGGGAGGAGATGAGGTGAGGGGCAGGGAGGAGATGAGGTGAGGGGCAGGGAGGAGATGAGGTGAGGGGCAGGGAGGAGATGAGGTGAGGGGCAGGGAGGAGATGAGGTGAGGGGCAGGGAGGAGATGAGGTGAGGGGCAGGGAGGAGATGAGGTGAGGGGCAGGGAGGAGATGAGGTGAGGGGCAGGGAGGAGATGAGGTGAGGGGCAGGGAGGAGATGAGGTGAGGGGCAGGGAGGAGATGAGGTGAGGGGCAGGGAGGAGATGAGGTGAGGGGCAGGGAGGAGATGAGGTGAGGGGCAGGGAGGAGATGAGGTGAGGGGCAGGGAGGAGATGAGGTGAGGGGCAGGGAGGAGATGAGGTGAGGGGCAGGGAGGAGATGAGGTGAGGGGCAGGGAGGAGATGAGGTGAGGGGCAGGGAGGAGATGAGGTGAGGGGCAGGGAGGAGATGAGGTGAGGGGCAGGGAGGAGATGAGGTGAGGGGCAGGGAGGAGATGAGGTGAGGGGCAGGGAGGAGGCTATGGATGAAATGGGGGAGGACAGTCACACTCAAGTCACAAGTCACACAACGCACGGGGACTGAAGGCATGGCATGGGCCGCGCTCGCAGCAGGTGCAAGCCATCCTCTGATCACCTCCACAGCTCTACCCCTCTTGCCCTCACTGCTTCTCCTCTCAAGCTTACAGTGGCCTCCCAGGCGCCTGTACCCCTTTCCCTGCTGACGCCTGTGTTAAACTCATCACAAGCGCCTGGTGGAGTGGAGCGAGGACTGGGCTGCCCGGAAGAAAGAACCTGCTGACTATAATTTTTCGATGGGCTGGACGACGGCAGGTGGATGAGGGCAGGTGGACGAAGGAGGGCAGGTGGGCGAGGGAGGGCAGGTGGGCGAGGGACGGCAGGTGGACGAGGGCATGGTGAGCGGCATGAAGCGGCGGCTGCACGTGTTGCGGGCTGAGGCCAAGCTGCGCCAAGTGTACATTGGACGGTGACGCAAGACACCAAGTTTGCCAAGGAAGTGGAGGAGGAAAGGAGGCTCTTCACAGAGCGGCAGCAGCAGCACCCAGCCTGGGCAGACCCAGAGGGCTGGAGAGCTCAGAGAGCAACACAGGCGTCGGCGGGGAGAGGGGTACATTAAAGTGGAGGAGGAGAGGGACAAGTCGGGCATGTACGGTTACGGCATGGCGCGACAGCGCTGTAGAGAAGAGAAGACCTGCCATGTCTGCCGGCGCAAAGGGCACTTGTGCTGGGATTGCGCAAGGGCGTTGACCTGCACGGGATGGAGCAAGGGCGTTGACCTGCACGGGATGGAGCAAGGGCGTTGACCTGCACGGGATGGAGCAAGGGCGTTGACCTGCACAGGTCATATCAAGGAGTTGTGTTACAAGAGGGGGCAGAGAGAGAGAGGGAAGTCCGGGAGGGTGCAATGTGGAGCGAGCAGGAGCTGAGAAAGCTTCAGGTGTAGTTACAAAAGGCGGAGATTAGTGAAGATCTGTAAGAGTTATGATCATGGCCTGGGTGGCTGAAGAGCCAAGATCTGAAGTGGAGGAAGCTGAGTATACATTTGGTGTCATGAAGCTAGAACAAACAGTTGGGCCAGTGAATTGGAGGAAGGACAGCATGCAGAGCTTAAGACCTACGAATACAGAGCAAGGATGAAGAAGGAAGAGGGAATCAAAGTGGGACGACGAAGAGGACGCCTCAAAAGAGGCTAGTCAATCGAGCCATGGCTCTACAGGTTGAGGGAGGAGCTGTGGCCATTGGGGCGTGCAAGCTGAAAACGCAAAGGCTCAAAATGTGCTGAAAAGGGGATGTTGTTCACGACAGGGGAGGAGGGTGCGCCCAAATGGGTTGCGAGCCGGTGGAATTAGTGCTGGCGCCAGGATAGCCATACAAGACCTAAGGTGCTCGCCAATACCGTACCGTAATCCCGATCATGGCAAAAAGAGGAGATGGTGAAGTATGGCATGTCCCAAAGTTAAGAGGGATGAAAAATGGGTGTGAAGTGTTAGAATCTGGCAACAGGAATGGCTTGAACTAGCAGGATGCAGGAGTACAAGTAGTAAACCCTAATTGGGTTGTACCCCATATGGGCTACCCCACTATAGCCTAGACAATATGCAGCACATATAGTTTGACACACCCCCATAGGCAAAGTGGGGGAGAACAAGGGGTCACACGACCAGTCAAGAGAAACAAAACAAGCTCAGGGTGGATCCCAACGTCACCACACATTCTGAGCACAAGCAAAGGGCCACAAGCAGGCCCTCAGATTGGTTTCAGGGTATGCTGATGGATCAGCGTGCCCTGCCCAAATTAGTGACCAAATCAGCGTTGGGGGTCAAGTTTATGCTGATTTTGTTAGGGTAAAATTTCATTGCTTAATAATTAATAAGTCTGAACAATTAAATTGCCCTTCCTGGGCAGCGCTAGTAGCGTAGCTGTCTCAGGTTTCCGCCTATAACCGGAAAGGTCGCGAGTTCGAAGCACGTATATGACACGTCCACCTATATTTTGGGCTTAAAGCCCCATGTACGCGCACCCCATCCCTGTACCCGATACATTTTGCTATACCCGAATCAGATTGACTCGGTACACTGTACTGAAGCTTCAGTGTTACTGGTACACCTACACACAAATTCGTCAGGGTAGTCCTACACTTCAAACTGAAAAATCAGTGCAAACATAAAGAATATACTGAAATTTCAGGGAAAACGAAAATCACAGCTACAAAATCAGCCTAATCAGCGTGTTTTGCAGAGATATATATGCAGCAATAACAGTACAGTGATGACTACCTAGCAAGAGCCAGCATGCAGGTGTATATATATAAATCACAGTACAAGCAGAGACTACAGCAAGTGCGGAAACGTAGGCACAAGGCCCAACAGAGTACAAAAGCACTGATGATCACCAGACGGAAGTGCCTTGGTGAATATATCAGCAGTGTTGGCCCGAGTGGCCACGTGGCGAAGACGAAGCTGGCCTCGCTGCTGCAACTCTCGAGCCAGGAAGTAACGCAGAGCAATGTGCTTCGTTCTGTGCTCCAGTCTGTGCTCCTCACACAAGGCAATGGCCGCCTTGTTGTCAACGTACAGCACTGGAGGAGAACGAGGCCGCTCACCCAAGTCAGTCAGCAGGTAGGTGAGCCAGCGTAGCTCCTGTGCAGCCATGGCGGTGGCGTAGATCTCAGCCTCACAACTGGAGCTGAGAACAGAAGACGAGCGTGTAGACTGCCAAGAAACAGAGCCAGAGCAAAGGCTGAAGGTGTAACCCTGTGACGACCGCTGTGTAGTCTGGTCGTCAACCCAAGACGCGTCTGAGTGCCCAGTGAGGACCACCTCACTCCGTCCTCCAAGCACGAGCCCCATGCCCGACGTACTGCACAAGTAGCGCAGTACCCTCTTAGCAGCAGCCATGTGCTCTGGTCGGTGCCTACCAGGAGCCACGTAGCGAGCGAGAAGGCCAAGAGGGTACGCAAGGTCAGGACGAGTGCAGGTCATCAGGTACATGAGGCAGCCCACTAGCTCTGGGTAAGGACCACTCGGCTCTACGGACTCGTTCGAAGGTGGAGCTGAGAGCGAGTGACCTGTAGCCAGAGGAGTGTGCTGTGGCGAGGACCAGGTGAAGCCGAAGCGCTGAAGGACCTGCTGCACCATGTGTGACTGAGTCAGTGTGATGGTGCGACGTGCTCTGTCCCGAGTGATCTGCAAGCCAAGGTAACTGCGCAGCTCACCCAGGTCTGTGCACGTGTGTCTCTTCTGCAGCTCCGACTTCACCTGAGCGAGAGCCTCAGTGTCAGCAGTGGCAAAGACCAAGTCGTCGACGTACACGAGGATGTAGAACGGTGGCAGCGAAGTGTCGGTGCGCAGGAACAGCGACGGGTCAGCTGTCGAAGGAGCGAACCCAAGAGCCGCCAGTGTCGTCCTCAGTGTGTCGTGCCACTCACGTGGCGCCTGGCGGAGACCGTAGACTGGCCGCCGGAGGCTCCACTGGGTACCAGGAGGGAACGACCCAGTGAAGCCAGGTGGGCGGCGCAGCCAGATCTTCTCGTGCAGGCTGCCCTGTAAGAAAGCTGTGCTAAAGTCAAGAGAGTGAAGCTCGTAGTCACGCTGAGCGGCAACGTGCAGCAGCACCCGAAGAGTAGTCATCTTTGGGGTGGGGGAGAAGGTCTGGAAGAAGTCAACTCCCTCTCGCTGACTGAAGCCTCTAGCAACGTAACGAGCCTTGAAGACAGGCGGAGAACCTGGCGGCCGCTTCACCCTGAAAATCCACATGCCATCGACGATGTTCGCCCCAGGAGGGGGAACCTCGTCAACGTAAGTGCCTGTGGACTTCCAGGATGCCATCTCTGCGTCCATGGCTGTCTGCCACTGAGAAGAGTACTCACCCGCGATCGCCTCAGCGTAAGAGCGCGGGGTCGGGATGTCTGGTGCATCCGGGTCTCCCTCAGGGGCAAGCAGCATGGCCACGAGATGAGGCGCAGCAGCCGCAAGACACTCAAGGTCCTCGTGCCTGTCCTCAAGGACGTCCGTGCTAAGAGCACACTCACCCCCGACGGACGGAGGACAGACAGACTCAGACTCAGCAACAAGACTGGCAGCGAAGTCTAGACGACAGGCAGCAGCAAAGTCAACAAGCTCAGCGACAAGAGCAGACGCAGCAGTAGACTCAAACGACGGGTCAGTGACAACAGTGGCTAGCAGACGCGTGACAGTAGGGTGCTCAGCACGAAACCGGTCAGACTCAGGGTCCGGAACGTCAGGCAAAGAGGACGCAGGAGGAGACGGCAGAGGAACAGGCTGCGGAGCAGAGGAAGGACGACGGACTACGAGGTGTGCGCTGGGGACAGCCGGCTGACGCGAACGAGGAACACGACGACCGGTACGACCAGGACGAACAGGCGAGACAGGACGCGACGCAGGCTCACGACGCTCAGCAGGACTACCAGTCTGCTCAGTGTAAGGAGAAGGAGCAGGCAGCGGTGAGCCAGGCTGTAACGGAAGACCAGTAGACGACGGAAGAGTAAGAACCTGACGAAGAACAGAGGCAGACGGCGGCAGAGACGACGGAGACGGCGGAGCGAAGAACAGTCGTGTCGGCGTAGCTGCACCAGTACCGGCAGCTCCAGCAGCTCCAGTACCTCCAGCAGCTCCAGTACCTCCAGCAGCTCCAGAAGCTCCAGTCCCAGAGCCGACACCTCCAGTCCCAGGGTCTCCAACCTCAGTGTCTCCAGCAGCAGCACCCCCAGAACCAGCACCTCCAGCCCCAGGGTCTCCAGCCTCAGTGTCTCCAGCAGCAGCACCCCCAGAACTAGCACCTCCAGTCCCAGGGTCTCCAGCCTCAGTGTCTCCAGCACGAGCACCTCCAGAACCAGCGACTCCAGCACCTCCAGTAGACAAAGGACCAGCACCACTCCTAGCTCCAGTGACGACAGCAGAAGTACCTCCAGCAGCAGAGCCCCGGGCTCCTGCAGCTCGACGCTGACGGCGACCGTACCAGTCCTGCAGCTGCTGTGAGGTGAGAGGCACACGTGGACGAAGGCGGCTACTCCAAGGAGACCGCGCAGCAGCAGACTCAGAACCCTCAGCGCCCGCACCCCCAACTGCTCCAGAACCTCCGGTGTCAGCACCCTCAGCAGCTCCAAAACCTCCAGCTCCAGCGCCACCAGTACTAGGCCCTCCAGCAGCTCCCGAACCTCCAGCGCCAGCACCCTCAGTAGCTCCAGAACCTCCAGCGTCAG